GATACACGCAGCAGGCCGCGCATTGTTCGCCGGTCGTCATAACAATCAATAAACACTTGAATCACGATTTTGATCGTGTCGACATAACACAAAACAACAAATATCACCTAAATTAATAAGTTTAGCTAGTCCCCGGATGCTGTTCTCGCGTGGGCGCGCGTCTTGTCCGGATATCTCGTGGCTCGTTTATCTCTTCTTGTTTCTTCTTCGGAGAACGATGACACAGGCGGTAATTCGAACGGGGCCAACGGAATGAGTACGACGAAGAGGAGGATGAAGAGGAGGATGACGATGAACGTGACGAGGAAGACGATGACGACCACCATGGTCGTCTCGGCACGATGTTCCCCTGTAGGTCGTGGTGGCAACCTAGCGCGGTGGTGTTCACAGTCGTAATCGTGGTGACGTTTTCACTGGCGCCACTCGATTGTTATCTCCCGTCGCGGTAGAGGAGATAAGTTTTCATTGCCTGCGGCAGGTTCAGCATCTGAACTTTCTCTTCTAGTCTGTGCTTGCCGATCCGTTGACGGATTACTCTTCGACACAGGTCCATGAGGGGCAGAGGTTCAGCTGAAATAGCAACGTTCAAAGATCACCAATGAACTCCAGGATTACAGGCTAGCTAGGCTAGACGCCATTTGCGATCCTAGGTCCAGGTAGATTTCACAAGACCCATGACACTTCGGATCGCAATAGGTTAAATAATGAAGATGACAGACGATCGATTATTTTCGGAGCAATCGTTATCTGTCAGCTTTATTATTCCGCACTGGCGAAACTGGTTTCGAGTATACTTACGATCAAGTCCACCAATGTACTTCATCGTGATCTCGCAGTGTCCCCATACGGCGGACACGATAGGATGCAGCTTCCTGCCTTTAAGGCCTCTAAACGCGATTCCAAGGTACTGGCCGTCTACGACGAATGCTAACGTACCTTCATCCATGTCCAGGACCACTGGAAGATACAATACACACGTTTCATGTAGAATTTTATTTGGATCCAACGAGTTATGGTACACTTCATTATATTATTCCTAAAAGAATCGATACTCGTTTATTTAGATTGTGGAAACTGGGTACACGTCAGTGTGATCGCATCAATCAAAATAGGCGTAAACATTTATAAAATAATATTTCTAAAATCTAGTGTTGATAATTCTCAAAGAAGCAATCAGGATCATTTTGATTTCTCTAGTTTTAACGTTAACCGTTTGTGCTACTATGTCGAGCGTTCATCAGTTTCATTCGCAGGTGTGCTTCAACAGTTGATTCGATTGGAACTCACCGAGGAATTTGTCAGGAACGATGAACGTCTCGTCGGGTTTGAGGAGGGCTGGGTACGTGACGCCGCCGTTGTTCTTCGAGTCGTGGAGGAGCCTATTCCTGCCCAGATCCCAGCCCCAGCTGAGCTCGCTGTTGCCCACGAGACTATGGTAGCCGACACTGTGGAGAGGCGCGTCCGCCGTCGCGACGCCGACCACGGCGTGCGTGCCCCGTTGCCTCGTGCTCCAGTACAGCTCCCACACGTGCATACCCTTCGTGTAACCCACCTTCCCCCTGATGCAGTCTGTGCTCTGCGCCACGGGGTGTCGGTGAAACGTCAACTTGTCCTCATCCTGCGGGGAACCGAAAGCGAACCAATCAGAACCGCGACGGTCGCGAGCTTTTCGACGATCTTATTCCAAAAACTGCGCCCCTGTCGGCGCTAGGGAGGCCGCGCATCGCTTAACCTCTTAGGCAACGTTGAATTTTGCAAGGGGAGTGCTTCTATGTATGGCAGAGTTCGACATGAATTACGAGTAAAGGATACAGCACTACAATGTAACGGACAATGCTGTTCTTTACGCGAGTACATTGGAGTGAAGTTTTTGATGATTAACGCGTTCGACCCGGCGTGGACCACCGGTCCACAGTATTCACCACAGTATTTTTAAGAACTCGCAGAACTACTCAGATTCTGATGATTGTTACTGATAACGTGAAAAGTACTGAAGTAAATTAGCGCTGCCAGATGAATAAACGACTTATTTTGTGTACGTCGAATATAGAAACTTCGAAAAAAAGCACGGGGTTTGTCAGAAAGATGACATCCGCGAAAGCCACTATAGTGGCGCGTCGTGCCTAAGAGGTTAATGAACCGGGAGGATTAGGGAACTTCTATTTCTAGATGAAACTAGAAATTTCGAAATTTTCAGCTTCATGTTTCGGAAATTCCATGGTTTCGAAGGTTCAAGCGTTGGAACTTTGGAACTATGCCATTCCCATGTATTCGAGCTTCGAAATTGTGGAATTTTTAGATATCCAAGCTTTCAAATACTGGGATCGTTAAACTATATTTTCATAATTTTAAGCTTTGAAATTTTTGAATTTCTAGGTTTGCAAGCTTTCGAATGCTGGAATTTTTTAACTATGACATTTTCATATCTTTAAGGTTTGAAATTTTGGAATTTCTAGGTTTCCAAGCTTTCAAATGCTGGGATTTGAAAACTATACTTTCATATTTCCAGGTTTCGAAATTTTGGAATTTTTAGATTTCCAAGCTTTCAAATGTTGAGATTTTCAAGCTATGAAATTTTCATATTCCCAAACTTTGAAACGTCGAAACTCTCAAGCTATAAACCTTGATATTCCCAAACTTCCAAACATTGAAACTTTCAGATCATAAAATTTCTATATTCCCAACAACAGAAAGTTCAACAATCCGAAATACCAAAGGTCCAAAGTCGAGAACCACTTAAACATCAAATTCCACAGACTAGACCAGTCCCTCAATTCGAAACTCAGCTCGACACCGTCGAGCCAACACAGCTCAGAGCCCAGAGTTTGGAATAATATCAATCCTGACACGATCTTACCCATCTTTTCGTCTGACATCGCGACAGAAACGAGGATTAATCTTACATGATACACGGAGGGAATCCCCTATTCGTAGGTCTCCGAAACGAACGGAGAACGGCGCGTTAACCCCTTGCCTTACAATAACGTGTCAGACACGTGACGCAGATTTCAAAGAGAATTGAACTAGCATGGACGTTTGCTCAATCCTTTTGAATTAAAATTAAATATTCTTCTCCTGGTATCAATTATTATACTTTGAAGCAAATATTGATATAAGATATGCCTATAATTTTGTTTCTTTTAATAAATCATTAACACATCTACCAAAGGTATCTTTCAACACCCTTTGAAGTTTTAACTTACTATTCTCTCAGTTGAATAATTTTTCTAATTGAATTTCAGACATTTCCTACTGTTAATTTTATCATTATTGGAAAAGTCGAAAAGTCAATTCAGAGTATACAAGTAAGCTTGGAAAATAATTCTGAGTTGAAACTTCGGAAGGTCACTAGAAATATTAAATATCAAACTTATAAATATTAAATAGCAAACACGAGTTAACTCGTGACCGGTCAACAATGTGTTAACCAGTTAACTGTGTTTGACGAGTATACACGTCATCGTAAAGCTTGACATGATACTAATTTTTTCAGCGATGAATTCTTTATATTTTCACATAAACATGTAATTCTTTGTTTCGTTTCGATCTTTCATTAAAATATACTCTACTAAATTCCACAGTTAACTGGTTAACCCTTTAGCTACATTTGACGTATCAGAACGTATTCATTCTGGTTTATTTGATGATTATTAACAGAACAAATAATTTCAGTATTTTGGTGAACCTTGTTTGGGATACACAACCCCATAATGGCAGAAATAGGGAATATATTTTATCAAAGTGATAGCGATAGTTTTAATGGAAGTAGTGATCTCGAGCAATCTGATGAATTTTTTAATGATCCTTCAAGTGATAAAGGGGAATTTCAAATTATAAATGACGAAGAATATATCGAACTCGAAAGTGATAACGATAGTGAAATTTTTCCAAGACGTAGAAGACGTGCAAGAGGCTTATCAAGTGACAGTGAATCTTCTCGTGAAAAATTAGATGAAAATAATTAACAATTTGCTATTTATTACAACCAGAGTTTATTTGTTTCAAGAGTATTTTGTGATACTAACTGCCTAAAATTATTTCAATATTATGTCGGAGCATATATAACGAATAATACGAAATAAATTAATCCTTAAATAAAATCTACTGCGTTTAATTGCCCGCAAAATTAAATGTACTCAAGTGCAAAAAAATTTTCAAATAAATGTGTACCCAACGGGTCAACCCTTTGCTGTCCGAAGTGCTTTTGGTTTCTCACTTTGAGGTTCACGTCGACGTTAGTTCATTCAATTACAGCTTAATGACGCTCTATTTATTCAAAAATATTTGGGATTGAAATGTTACCTTTAAATGGTACAATTTACTACAAATAAATATAGAAAAAATCGTTAAAACAGGTAGAGGTTGCAATAAAATAGAACGTCGAGTCTGACTCGACAAAGGACTGTTAAGCAGCGTATCGATCGTGGAGAAGTAAATCGTAAGACAAGGGGTTGAAAACTCGATGCGCACGGTGGGGGGATCGGAATGCAGCGTAAATGCATCAAAACACGTTAATGCATCGTCGGTCGAGAATCCGATGGTCTCGGCCGTGGACACGTACCTTGACGAATATGTTCAGACTACGGTCGTCAGCGTTCCAACTGTGATGGATTTGCGTCTCCCGCGAGGCGGGCGGCATGTCGAGGAGGACATCGAGGCGTGCCGGCCTCGAGAAATCTTGCGCCAGCTCCCTGGGCACCACCGGTTTGTACGGGACGGTGCCGCCGCCGCCGCCGCCGTTTTCAACGGCGACTCGGTCGCCGCCCGTTCCAGCTCCGTTCTCGCGCGCCACGCTCTTCACGCCGCCTGCGGAAAAGATCAGCTTGGTCAGTGAGGGCCCGACACGCTTCCATTACCCCCGTCGTCTCGCGTAATCGCGGCTCGCGAGATAACTTCACCGGGGAACACGCTCGTGTTCGGCGAAACCTTCCAGCGAACCGCGATTCTCGGATTTTACGTTTCAGTGCCAGTCAGTCTGCGGATTCGTGGAATCAAATTGTGTCCGTTTATCTGCTCCCATTTCAGTTACTCATTGTTAACTCGACATCTCGGAAATAGAATAATCGGGAACCGTTTAGCATTTATGCGAAAGAGCGCAGTTGAATTTTTGACGGGCACTCAAACGGTTAACGTTGACTGCCGCGTTGGTCACCGGTGACCGGAGCTTGTAAATTACTTGACAATGATTACAATTTGTTAGATAACTGATGTTGAATAGAAATATTTCATAAATTACTAGATAATAGTGTAATGTAAGCATAAAAGGCATAAAACTCTGAAGGTTTTCGTGGCAGTCAACGTAAGCTTCATTTCGGATAATAGCTAAGTTAATATATATTGCCTATTGTATGGATTTAACCCTTTGCGGAAGATTCTTTGGAACGTAGGAAGCTTCGGCAGATGAAGCTAGGTTATGTATCAATGACTGCCAAGTAAATAACGATGAAAACTCCCATGCAATCGAAACGATTTTCGTAATAAAGCAAAAACTAGGTAAGATTCTTCGTAACGATTATTTTACCAGTTTCCTTATATCTCAGACGTTCAATAACACTTCGTTCGTTCGATAGCAAGAAAATGTTCAAGATTACGTTAAAAATGGCGTCACCTGTATTTGGGTGACGTGGCACTCAGAGTGTCAATAAAAAACAGGGAAACTACATGCTGATTGCACGTGCATTGCTACATGCTATAGTAATCGAATCATTTGTTCGCTTAGTCTTGCAAGTATGAACATTTCATCTCCGAAATGTCGACGCATCGAACGAACGGAATCCTGAAAGATAAGACAGCGATCTCTGTAACAAATCTCGACTCTACTTCTCGTTTCATTAACGCTAGAACTAGGTACCAATTAAATAACCGGTTTCGATTCGTTTGTTTCGCGATTGATATCTTAAACGCATTGAATACTCGAAATCGTGAAAATAGTCTCACTCGAATATTATAATGAATATCCGGAGAAACTGAAAACAATCCCTTACATTTTTCATAGGGGTAACTCTCTATCCAGAAGTTTTCACTGGAAACACTCAATTTTTCATGAGAAATCGGCAGAAATCCATTTTCTTTATACAAAGTCTAATATCAACCCTTCGCGGACGAAGATTCTTTGAAATACACAAAATCTTCAGCAGACGAAGCTAAATGATACATCAACTGTTCAAATAATCGAAAAAACAGAAACTTCGTGCTAATCTCGTTTGAATAATCAAATCATTTACTGGCGATTCTTCGAAACAGGAACATTTCATTTTCCCAAAACGTCATTCGTCCACAAAGGGTTAAACACCAAACTTCATACTATCGTTGTCAAATCAATAGCCTCCGACAGCCCGTACAAACTGCTAATCTGAAACGTTCGGTAGTACCAGCGTTAACGGAACCCCTTGGACAAGCTTCGGATACCGATTCGCCGGTCAACACGTCAACGACAAGCATCCTCCACGAGTCTATCAACTCTCGTCGATGGTTCAACGTTTAAATCACCCCGCACCGACGAGATCCCGAAGTTCGGCGAGGTCCTGCTACCCTAGACGCAGCGCGGCTCGGTGTTTCGTTCGCAGCGGATTTCCACACGGTCGTTAATAATTCAAGACGCGTCTGCGGGATTCATCCTGCGGCCGGATACCTGCCAGCGGCGCGTCGGGACCGGGGAGATTTGCCGAGGAACGAGGAAAAAAGAGTGGAAGAAAAATAATGAAGGGTCCGTCCCGTCCTCCGGCGGGCACAGCAGGCCTCGCCGAAGGTTTTCGAAGCTTGCTTCGCTCGTTCACCCTCTTCCCCGGCCCTCCTCTCTCTCTCTCTCGCTCGTCCTGTCTCGCCCGGCTAGGGTCGAACACGGAGCGATATCCTCTGGATGCTGGTTTATTTGCTCTGGCAGCTGTTCCCGACAGCGCCGTTTCGAGGGTTCCGAAACGAGGGTTCTGGAAAGGTCCGTGGAGGATTTCAAAGGGTCTCCCCGTGCCCGAAAAGCCGAGGGGCACTAATAGAAAGGCCCTTTCACGGCCCTCTGTGTATCCGGTCGGCCGACCCGCAGGGTCTCCTTCGGGTTCGACGCGTCGCCGGGCTTTTTTTCGGCGTTTCTGCGCGTCCGAAGGAGAAAGAGAGCTGCGGCGCACCTTTCCTCCGACGAGACTCGACGTTTTTTCCCCGCGTCGGGCAACGATACCGGGGCACTCGTAAATTTCACGGGGCGCGGACGCGAATCGACAAATTTCCCGAAAAGACGACCGTCCGAAGGGACGCGGACGGATTTCCGGGGAAGGCCGAGGGAAACGCAGCGAGGCCTCGATCAATGGGGATGATTAATCCTTTGATCGTCGAGCTCTCTCGAAGTGTTGCTCTAATTGTGTATCGTATTGTTCCCGTTCGCTTGCGAACGTGAACTTGTCCGATCGTTACCGAAGCTTTCCGTATTAACGAAGGTGTGAGAAATCGATGTTTAATGCTCATCGTAAATTCATTGACTCCTGTGTGTCGTATTACCGAAGGTGTGAGAAATCGATGATGTTCAATGCTCATCGTGGATTCATTGTACTCCTGTGTGTCGCCGGTTCAGGGGTCAATCGCGGCGTCGGTCTGTCGCGTTCCCAGAGTTCGACCGATGGATTCTTGCGAGCATTTTCATGAGAATCACTGGCCTCCCGGTAACTAATTAGCTGGGGAACTTGTTACGCTACGCCGGACGGGCCGCGTAACGCAGATAATTAGCGACCTATTACACCGAACGCTTCGCGCGTATGCCTCTCCGCGAACACCTCTATTTTTCGTGTTTCGTTCCGCGCGACTTTGTTATACGACGACTTTGCTAAGCAACGAAGCTTCGCAACGTATCGCCGACGTTTCAACGGAGAACGATGATCGTTTCCAGCGAGGAAAGCCGCTGAGGGATTAATCTTCCACGAGATTAGAGAGAACCACAAGTCCTGGCGAGATGAAAGGGAGACAGATGAATATCTAGCCGGAAGCGGTGGGTCCGTTTCAAAATAAATTCCCCGCGATGAAATAGAACGGAGAAACCTGCGGTTCCGACGGGTCGGAGGAACACCGAGCGGTTCCCCCGTTCCTTTCTTTTTCCTTTCACTTTTTAAACCGTAGCCAGTGCCCCGTCGGTTTCTATGGGCCGGCCGGTCGGCCGGATTTATGGAAAGGTTAATTGTATCGGTGATTAATAGTTTTTCACTTATGTAAATTCGTGGCTGCGCCGCGGTACGCAACAACGGGGAACGGGTGGAGAACTTTCGCTTCAACCCGATACGCTTCGAGGCTGGTTTCTCGCCGGAGTGGATAGAGTCTCTCGGCCCGAAGGACCTGTTCGAGGCCTCTACCTGAGCAGGTAGGTAAAATCGAGAGCGGTCAGAGGCCTTGACCCTGGTCAAAGCCCGGCGCGATAGGCGACGCCGAAACTTCCTCTCGCAGCGTGGCTGCTTCGACGAGCTCGCTCGTTGCTAACGAACTCGAAACCGTCGTTTTCGTGTCACCGGCTGCTTTCTTTCCTCGGTTGCTTTAACCTCTTGCTGGAAAGACGTACCACGAACTCCGAGATATTTTTGCTTGAAAATGATGTTACACATATCGAGCCTTGTCGCGTTACGCATACTAGATTATTCTCAAATGTATCACTATAAAATAAACAAAATTGTATACATATTTTAAAATAGATAAGAACGAAACTCTTCACGAGACTTTGAATCTTTGAATTCATTTCCAGAAGAGGTTAAGGATGATTTTGTGTCGCGAGTGGAATCTACGCGATCTAATAACCTGTTGTACTAAATGTAGAGTAACGTGAATTCCATGGAATTTACCTGGAATTTACATGGAATTGTGTTGTGAATCAACAGCGTCTACAGTATTGCGAACCGAACGCGTTTCTTAAAAGACCCTTGCGAAGCGAGCGCGTCCAGATTTCCGGAATATTCGAATCGATACGAAGTTAGCGGTACCGACGAGAAACGAGGCTCGCATATCTCGCTGCACAAAGGGTTAACCTACTAAACCGCTTGCACGTTGATCCAAGCAGTCCGAGCAATCCGCCCAAATATTCGCAAAGGCACAACAAGAGACCGCTAATCCCCTTGGCCAAGATTCCATCGCGATTACGACGCACTTCCTCGCCGACTCCCCTGCATCGCAGTTAGTCGAACATTCCTCCGCTACGCCGTACAAAGCTACAAACTCTCGGGATGACTGGACGCGCGCGCTTGAAACTCGAACCCGAACGTCGACAAACATCCCCGGAACGTTAGCTTCCCAGCGTGGAAACCGGTCCACTGACACCTCGCCGGGGTACCCTGCGTTCCCGCGCAAATCCACCCTTTGAACTGTCCCCGTCAGTCGTAGCGGTCGTCATTGCTGTCTTTAGCATCTCCGGAGAGTGGGATCATCAAAACCGTATCCTCTAAGAGCGTCCGGACCTGTCACCCAGGTCAAGCGTCGACAACCTCTGTACAACTACCAGTCTCCCATCAATTTATCCAAAAGATTCTACGAAAAGGATGACAGTGTAAACAGAAAACATTACATTGAAATTAGCAGCTTTAATCATCCCGGTTACACCGAAGAGCTCCGTAGGCTGAGGAACAGGTTGACCTAGGTGACACCTAACTATACTCAATCTATCACAAAGAACAAGTCTAACAAGAATGAAACTCAATTACCCTAACACCCTTATACGACTTACACCCAAATAATGACCAAGCCACGAGGTCTGGAGCTAAGGCAATCACCTCATCGGTCGAAGCTCCGGTCGACCGACTAAGGGCACATCAGATAAAATCCAGCGCGACAACCGAGTCTCTCGTTCCTAACCTGAAATTTTTTGGCCCATGTTCATGCCCCGATGGTGGGAGCGATGGTGTGGGTGATGCCGGTGATGATGCGAGTGGTGGCGGTGTTCGTTGCACAGCTTGCCAGCGGGCAGCTTGTACTT